GGCGGCGGCAACAATACTACAGCGAGAATAAAAGTTACGCCTTCTTTCTTTGCGTGAACATTTGGGTGGCGTTATGCAAATCTTCCCACATCGTGATGTAGACATGTGGGGGCATGTTAGAATGAGCCGTTTTAGGTAGGCGTGGTTGACTCTTAACTTTTATGAAGAATATCTCTTTGGATTTGAGACTTTATTCTTTGCAACTTTACAGATCTTCTTTATGCACCAAGAGCCTGTAACACTCCAAAGAGAAAGGAAAATTTGAAATTTCATCATATGACCCCTTTAAAAAAAATAGACATATAATGGCTGAGCAGACAGGAGGGGTAAAATGTTTCCTTTTTTACTTTTTTTAATTAAAATACTGAAAATAGAAGGTATTGGTTTTGGGGGACAGGTAAAACATTTTAGAACAAGTAAATTTGATTAAAAAATTAAATGCACAAAAATTGTTTTCAGCCTTTTGGATAGTGTGTCAGGACTAAAAAGAACCAATACGCTGTATCCCTTGTGAGTGAAAAAGTTTCCCACAGTCAGACAGCTCCATCCACTAATACAGTCACTAATATGTACATGCTGAAAGAAATCTTGTGTAATGAAGGCAGATATCTGGACTTCTTAACTAATCATCCTTTCATTTTAAAGTAAATCCCTTTGAAAACAGGCTTTGGGGCAGGGGAGAGACAGTACTGCTGTAGTTAGATGTAAAAAAAATAATTCAATAAATAATAATAATAAAAATTAAGAATACACACATGGACATACAAAAAACAACACACCTGGAGGAAACAGAAGAGCCCAGATCTGAACATCCATTAAAGCGGATCTCATCGTCTGGACAGGGGCTGCTTGGAGTGTAGTCTCCATCCTCTCCTTCTCCATAGTCCTCAAACTGCTCCTCATTTAATGAGGCAGATGAACGTGTAGAATGATCAGAAGTCTCGGAGCGATTATACATCTGACCACACCTTGAGGAATGAGAGAAGAAATGGAAATTAAAAAAGCATGTATTTTTTGTGCACTTTTCTGTAGACTTAATATCAGTGAAAGCAATTATTATTCAATTCATTAATTAATTTGCAAATCCATAAATTCAGCCTTATGTATACAAGAAAACATGATAAAATCACTTACTTTTCTCCTGGGAGGCAAAGCCCAATCCCTTCCTCTTTTTCTCCAGTTCTCCCTCCATCCGATATCTCTGACGATAGAGCACTGTCTACTGCACTGTCTCTGTCTGACTCTCGCTCCACCCCTCTGCCTCCCTCACCCTCCTCATCCTCGAGCATGGACATGATAACTGGTGGCCTGACCTGTCCTGACTGTACTGTCAAAAGCAAAAGAGATTAAACTGTTAGAACAGTCACACAACACCCAACTTAAGTTACATAAGAATAGAAACAATTATGAAAATATCATGAATGCATGGATGTCTGACAGGGATAAAATCTCTGGGAGTGACAACTGCATTTATCTATGATAACCCTAGCCATATTTTGGTGCCTCACAAGCAGTGAATATGGATATCAACAGTTCACCCATTTGATATGTTAGTGATATTAGTGACTGGAGACAATTTAGCATCAAAGAAAGAAAAAATATTTAAAAAATCTAGTATTAAATATGTAAATATTACTTCTATTCATATTGGTTTAAAAATAAAACTTTTATACCATTTATACCATATAAATGTAACTAAAAACTGTATGAGGCGTACACTTCAAGTAAAAATCATAATCATAATTATATTCCAAAAAGTTTTAAAATATATTATTCAAGGGTTTATGAATTTACAAATCATTATGTTTACATTATTATGCTTTAGAAAATTATTGACCTTTATACAGTCATGTGGTTAATAAGTCACAGGCCTAATCTAAATAAATTTTATGTTTTGTGTTTTTTGTTTTTGGAACACATGACTTTGACTTGGTTTTGCAACATTTTTATAAGAAATAAAAATAAAAGAATACGTCATACTTTATATGGTTTTCTTTTTTTAAATGTCATTCTTTTAATGAGGCTGTTATATTCATTGTGATATCAGAAAAGTTGTGTCACTCTGACACTGAATAACAAATAAAGAAAATACAACAAAGAAATAGAAGGAAGCAAACTGCTCGTAATATGTCTTGGCATGAAAATAACAAAAACAAAAGCTGCATGGCTAAAATTGGGCAGGCACCAATGTTCCTTTGCAGAAGAATGGACAGAACTGCAAAAGCATAATCTCTTCCCAATTTTTAATCAATCACACACACACTGCTTCTGTGGTTTACCAAACTGCCTCTACAACTAACAGTCACTTTTGTAAGTTGAGCACACAGCAGGCGGGTGTGCGTGTGTGAGAAAGAAAAAAAGGGCTCTTTAGTATTCTGTTGTGCAGAACATGAGGGGGCAGGGATACAAAATGCCAGTGTGTGGTCAGGCTGCTTGAACAGTGAGTGGTCCTACATACACAGAAGCAGTGAGCATGCACACACACACACACACACACAAAGTGGTTTGAGACACTTATTCTCCCACCTTCTTTCTCACACACAAAACACACACACACACACTTTTCTTTGTGTGGCATAGGGGAAAATCAAAACAGGTCACAAAATGTATAGGTAATTATGTGCTCTTGTATTTGTGAATAGATCTCCTCCTCCACATAACAGCAGGGTATGAGTATGTGTACCTACTGTATGTTTGAGCACCTTATTATGAATGCACACAACTCTCCGCAACTTGAAACATGACATTCAAAGCCCTGCAGGAAGCTCTTACACAAATCCACTCTAAATGCTAGAAAGTGATCTGTACATGCACACACTGAATACTTTATTATGCATGTGTGAAACGCACAAAAGGCAATCGCATTTCACATTGCAATGCCCCTTTAGAATAATATTACATAATGGTCTCCAAAATAATTTTAACATTCAGAAAAAAAAAGTGCATTTTTCAGATGTTGAGAACACTTCTGAGTTGCAAGCATTATGTAATCCCTTACTCAGACAATATGCCATACAAGAAACTGAAAAGGCATGCTGTCTGAAAACATGTTCTTTGTGAACCTCTGAGACCTGACACGACTATACAAAAAAATAACAATTGAGTTTATGACGTATATTTATGTTAAAGTTTCTGCTGATTTATTTGATCAACTGAAAACAGTTGGTAAACAGACCATGATGGCACTTCAAATAAGCATGTCAGGATATCAGGAAAAAAGTGATCAGAAGTATCTCTCTTGATGTGTGTCACGAATCCGGTCTATAAACTTCCGTTCACTCACCACCAGAGGTCACCCGCTCACCACATGGACTCTCACACTACACAGACTGTTACACATCACCCTGGACTACATTTCCCATGCTCCATTGCACTACCCTCGACTACATTTCCCATGCTCCATTGCACTAATCACAAGCTCACCTGAAACCAATCACACACAGCTGCTACCAATAACACACACTATATAAATCAGTCTCACACCACCATTCAACGGCGAGTATTGTTTAGCGTGTATCCCTGTTATAGCTACCAGCTACCTTACGGAGCCTGCTTTAAGTTTTCTAGTCTTAGCTTAGTCTTGCCTTGTCTGTGTTTTCTCGTGTTCTGATCATTGCCTGTGTACTTTGGATTACCTCTCTCGTCTTGCCCTGTTCGAATACTGTTTGCCCCTGCCTGGACTTTTGCCTTGTAGCTTGTACCTGGATTATCCCTCTAGTCTCGCCCTGTTGGATTACGTTCGCCGTCGACTGACCCTCGCTTGTTTACCTGATTGCTCTTGCCTTGTCTTCTACATACCAGTTTGCCATTGTCTGACCCATGCCTGTTTCTGACCACGTCTCCTAAATAAAGCTTGCAAATGGATCCTCACGTCTCATTCGTCCCGTAACAATGTGAATGTTTCAATCACAGCACATGTACCAGTGTTGTGATGCTCATTATTATAACTAATCTATTCATTTATTAAAAACATTTTTTTCATGTCAATTCTCTAAACTGTCATACCCCAGTAAATGTAAAATGCCTAATAATAACAATAATAATGATGATAAAACAAATACATTTTTTGGTGGCATATAAAAAACAAATGCTGCTATAACTATGCTGATATCATAATAAAAAGAGTGAATTTTTTGGCATAATAATTTTAAATAATTAAAAACCAAATCAAAGGCATATGGTCCAAAGAACATTGTGGAAAAATGCAATGGGGGGCGGGGGACGGATGAAGAACATATACTTTTTACTGTATAGTTACACCACATAGTTAGACATCATTTATGTTCTCATCTCATGATTTTCCCAGCTGTCACTGAGTACAATAACCTTGAGGTCGTGATGAAAATAGCTTTAGATTGATTATTGTAATGCTTTAGTGGGTGGTTGTTCTTCACGCTTAATAAACAAACTCCAGCTGGTCCAAAATGCAGCAGCTAGAGTTCTTACTAGAACCAGGAAGAATGACCATATTAGCCCGGTTCTGACACTGCACTGGCTCCCTATTAAACATCGTATAGATTTTAAAATCCTGCTAATTACTTATAAAGCCCTGAATGGTTTAGCACCTCAATGCTTGAGCGAAGTCTTATCGTATTATAGTCCTCCACGTTCGCTGTGCTCTCAAAACTCTGCCAATTTGATAATACCTAGAATATCAAAATCAACTGCGGGCGGCATCCTTTTCCTATTTAGCGCCCAAACTCTGGAATAATCTACCTAACACTGTTTGGGAGGCAGACACACTCTGGCAGTGTAAATCTAGATTAAAGGCCCATCTCTTTAACCTGGCTTACACATAACACACTTACACATTTCTATTACTCAAATCCGTTAAAGGATTGTTAGGCTGCATTAATTAAGTCATCCGGAACTGGGAACACGTCCAATAACACACGATGTACTTGTTACATCATATCAGGACACCTAGATGAGCCCCAGAGACAGATCCCCAGTGAAGACCTTGTCTCGTAGACGGCCATCGGGACAAGACCACGGAACCAGATGAGCCCTCTGCACAATCTAAATTTGCTGCAGCATCGATCAACCTGCTGGCTCGTCTGGCCGGAGGAGAACTGGCCCCCCGACTGAGCCTGGTTTCTCCCAAGGTTTTTTTCTCCATTCTGTCACCGATGGAGTTTTGGTTCCTTGCCACTGTCGCCTCTGGCTTGCTTAGTTGGGGACACCTAATTTACAGTGATATTGTCAACTTGATTGCACAGATACTATTTAAACTGAACTGAGCTGGACGATGACATCACTGAATTCAATGATGAACTGCCTTTAACTGAAAATTGATTGTTTACTTTTATCCTTTTGCACTGGACACACTATTTTCCTATTTTGATACTGTAAAGCTGCTTTGACACAATCTGTATTATTAAAAGCGCTATATAAATAAAGGTGACTTGACTTGACAAACACGATGTTGTTAAGGATTGAGAAACTGTGAAGTAGCAATGACTTATTGTCTAGTCAAGGACGTGTGAGTCTTCCAACAGTCCACACAGATGCATTAAGAAGTCACAAACATACCACCCACCAGCCACTCCATAATACTTTAATGGGTTTCAGCAAACAGCTTCTAGGCCACTGTGGGCAGCTGTTTCATGAATACAGTAAGCAAAACTAAAAGGGGCCTAACTAACCATTTGAACATGTACAGTTAGCAGGGTCTAATTTAGACAGAAAGCAAGAGGAGCATGAATTATTAAATTACTCTAAGCCAGGTGAAGTGAAAAAAAAAAAAAAAACAGCCTGTGACTGGCTTCAAACACAATACTAGGATTAAGTAAGACAAGGAAGAGTAAGCTTAGCAATGACAAACCTCTCCACCTGCATCTTACATAATTCTTAGAGAAGTCTCTGTTTCATGCAGGGTGAAACACTGCTCCCAAAACAACAAACTGGTATAGTCAGGTAATTACATGAAATGCAACAACAGAAGCTAGAAAGGTAAACTCGTGCAATATCACGAAGGAGAAATTATAAAAACATAATCCTTCCCCAGGGCAGAATGAGTGCAGCTAAAGACAACTACAGGATCAATAGCCTACATCAGGGTCTTCTGGACACTTTTTTGGAATGTTACATCTCATGTCCGCCCTTGAACCAAAGAGCCCCCGGGCCTTGTTCTCATTTCCATCTCATTAACAGCTTATCATCATAAGCTCCATTTAACTGCTCACTGCCTAGAGAATTCATAGGAATCTCCTTCAGGCCTCTTTACTAACTTGAATCAAAAGCAAGTGAAACGTACAACAGCTCTACCCATATAGTGCATACTCTCTTCAAACTCTTGGTTAAGTTCATTAGTTTACACAGTCAATAGATGATTTTACCTTGAATCAAATCACTTTTCTTTAAGTCACAAAATGTGTGTATAGGAGACTGGATCTACTTGGAGATGTCACAGATTAACCATCAGACTATATCAAGATTTCACTATATCTCAAGAACTATGAGGTTTTCAAATAAAAATTCAATAACACAAATCACAAAAGACTGTTGCAACTAGCTATTCCAACTTAAAATTTACCATTATAATAACTTCCCTGGATTGGACATGAGATAACTCAAATATCAAAGTTAGTAAATGTTCCAATGGTTTGATATTTGTTATATAGGCTACATTTTTAATTTCTGCTGTTTCAGGAATTGGTCTATAATTGTTTTAGTGCAATAAATAATAATATATAAAATAAATAATAGGCTGTATAATGGATTGTTTAATGGGAGGTTCAATTGTAACTTAACCCATATCTTTTTTCCTGAGCAGAAACGGTGAAAATGTTCAATAGCTTTCTTGTAGCCAAAGAATTAAGGTATGTATGTCCCAATACAGAAATTGACTTTCAAAAATAAACCTACTATGACAAATATTTACTGCAGTAAAAAGTAATTCTGGAAGCAAAATCTGAACACATTACCTTTTGATCCTGCCAAACCAAACTGATATTAACATGACATTAGAAAAGGGGGAAATAGTTAGACACAGTATGTTCTAATGAGAATATTCAGACCACTGATTCAGGGCCTGTTCAGCTAAGATTGAAATCATTTTAGGAGACAGGGAGAAGATTCCAATAGGCATTTGCACACTGGCACTACTGTGTGTGTGAAGAGGCGAGCTGAGATCATATGTAAGAATTTATTGCCATGTAAAATCTAGTGTCTAATATTGCTGCATATAAATCTTGACCATGTGCCCATCATCTCATGGTATTTCCTTACATACTGAAAATCTGGAATCAGCACAGTTTTAGAACAGAAGTGATGAGTGTATTTTTTTTTTATAATGATTACAGTATAATGTATCATACTGATTCACATTTCTCACTCAGCTGAGGAGACAGTTTCACTCCCACACACACCCAGGAAAAAACAAAAAGATCTGTCAAGGCCAAGCTGGTGCACAGGAACCAATGAGTCACCATCCTGAGACACACTGCAATTTTTGCAATAAAAAAAAAAAAACAACGTGCTCAAACTACAGTTGTCAATAGCAAACACTCCCTGCCAGGAGCAGGTTTACTTTCCAAATGCATAATTCTCCGATTTAAACAGTGCATTTAATGGATCAGCAAAGTTTACATTTATAAACATACTATTTCTGTGTGGTACTATATGTATCTGTATATATGTACAGTGTAGATTGTGCCTGGCCGCTATACCAATGATTTATTTATTATTTTTTAAAACATACAGCTGGTCTTTGTTTAGGCTGTACTGTGCAGCTTGTAAAGCGCATCGAAACCTGCACTGTGCTAAAGTGGTAACTCAAGCCGAGGGGTTTTGTGTGAGAGATATCTTGACACAGAGATACAGAAAAGGCTTATGGGGATTTCAAGAGGACTTTTAACAACACAGCTGTCAAAGCCAAAAAAGCTAACATTTCTCAAAGCACGTCTGCTGCTAAATGCCATACATATTGAATAAATGTTGTAGGTGTTCTAAATATCAAATTTAATTTTTTTCTAATTAAAAATGTCACAATCGATTAGCAGTCAAAATATAAATTCTGACAGCTTTTCATAGGTTTTTTTGCAGCTTGGTGTGCATTTTATACAATACTTTAAGTGTGTGGAAGTTCAAGTGGGCAATTAAATTCAAGTATGCCCTGGTCCTGTCGTGTCTATACTTAGAAGACTCAAACTAACCGAGACAGCAGAGAGAAAGAAAAAGAAAGACTGTTTGCAAGGGTGAGAGAGGTGATATAACAAAAATGTCAGCAAGATGATAGATAGGGACAGCAGGGCTGCCACAGTCACATTTACATACTTCCAATAACAATTTAACTTTATAAAATACAAAGTTATGTATTTTAAAAAAATCCAATATTAAAGTTAGCCAAAATATGTGTAATGGTGATCGTTTTCCAAAGTCAGTTACATACTTCCAATAACAATTTAACTTTATAAAATACAAAGTTATGTATTTTAAAAAATCCAATATTAAAGTTAGCCAAAATATGTGTAATGGTGATCGTTTTCCAAAGTCAACTATCAGCAGCAGTTTTAACATATTTAATTTGAGATAAACTAGACAACTACAATTTTAAGGAAATTCTGTGTTTGTGGTTTCAGTTACAGACCAGATATTTAAGCAACTGACACCCATATTCATTGACACTCAAATCATATATAAAAAAACTCACCTAGAATACATTCTAAATGATCTGTCATGGCTCAGGCTGGTCTAGTTACATGATGAGGTGCCTTCTATGTGTTCCAGGAAAAACAATTATAGTCAATTATATGATTAAGACTTACATTTGTTACCTTAGATAAAATTGTGATATTACAGTGAGCATACTCTTCAAAACTTCATAACAGTCTAGTTCTACCAGGTTTTAAAGGTATATATAGTATTCATGTTAATTGCATTCTAATATCAATCACTCTCATTGGTCCTTAGTTTCAAGTGTCAAGGTCAGAAACAACTGTGAAACATAATTTGACCTATATATTTATTATGTCTGCTGCTACTATAAATGACTTTTAGGTTTATGCACACACAAGTTGCCAGCTGCCCTCAATTAACTATTAATCTCATCAACTGCAGGGCAATCAGACAGTTTAACAATGAGAGAGAGACAGGTACAACAGAGAACAAGATTGGAAACCAACAAAAGACATACTCTTGGCATATTAGTGGTAGTAAAGAATGTCAGACTTGGGAGAAAACAAATTAAATAGAGTGTGAGAAGTAACAAAAATGAGAAGGGAACAAGTAAATGTAATCCATGAGTGAGCAACACAAACATGAAACACTTGACATGAATTCCTTATATTCCTTAAGTCCTTTCCTCTTTTTTGTAAACACAATATAAAGAGCTCCTCTTACCTTGTCACTCACAACCGAGTGACCATGATCTCTTCCACTCCTCACAGTCCACTTCATCCACTGTTGACATCCAACTCAAATCGAAACAGGTGAGGCCTCATCCACTGGTAAGGTTCTTTTCAGAAGTCCTTAACTTCTGTAATCCACAGTCAAGGAAAAGAGAGAGAATCCTTATGCTGATTATTTTTATCTGCTTACTTCATGAATGAATCTAATAGTTTCTGAAACTTGTGCAAACACACTGCACAATTCAGGTTTGCTTGACCACACACCCTCCCAGAAGCTCTGACAGCAGTTGTGGGTTTCCAGCCACTCCTACTCTCTCCTTCTCAATCTCTATGGCTGTTGCCAGGCAACCGGCTTCAGGGGCGGTCCTGTGGGTGGAGCTGAAAAAGCTGCACACTGGCTCATGTCTAAAGCATTTGCATATGCAGGTAGACCTACCTAGTCACTGTGGCAACAAGTGCAGTAGTTTGAAAGCTGAGAGGCTTAGGGACTTGAAACATTACAAAAACTCAATTCAAGTGAAACATTTTCAGATTCAGTTATAAAATGAAAAAATCTAAACACATGTAAAGAAAACTTTCAAAGGATTTGTATCACCAGAAATGGCACAAAAGGGGAAGTTGGGGGAGATTATATAAATTGCAACACATCACACACAAAGGTGCCAAACCTCACAATTTCACTTCCTTCCTTGCAAGACCAGTTTGTATTGTGTGTTTGCGCATGATTAATTGTGAAACTGGATTTGTGGTTGTATTGCACTATTGCAGACTTGGAAACATCTCTTCTCTCAAAAAGCCCTCTTATATCTGCAACCATCTCTCAGAGTGAAACTTACTCTTACTACTGTTACATCTGCTCTGAAATCTAATTGTGAAAAACAAATTAGATGTACAAGAGCATTAAATGCTCATTTATTTCACTGAACTGTCCTGTTACCTCCCACCCTAATCTAACAAATTACCCATGACTTCTAAAGCCCTGTGACCATGAGACCCCAGTAGCATAATCCCTGAAGACACTTGTTCACAAACAAAGCCCAGCTTAAAGAAATAGCATACACCTGCTGGTCCATACTAGACCAACTGAGCCATGTGCCGACTCCGTACTTGCCCCACTTCTTCCCTTTCTGAAACATGTATTGTTGATTTTTGTCTTCTGACCTGTTCTCTTCTCACACTCCCTGTATGTCTCTTCATATCAAGTTTTCTCACTGTGTTTTGCATTAGCTTAGGTAAATGTTCTTCATCCACACCTGTCTTCAGTTTCTCACTTCACGTCACATTAATACAAGTGATCCCAAACCACACAAAACTACAGCCAGCTCTTTCTGCCAAACCTCTTGAGGAAAGTTCAAAACTAGCACATAGTACGTTTACGGCTCTTATTCGTCCTGGCATCTCATTTGGACAGTGGTATCTTGTTTCTCCTGGTGTTTGTCGGAGGAACAAAAAACAGATGGTGTCAATTTTCTCTAACTCTGACCTCGGATTTTCTCTTACACATTTTAGCTTCTTGATAAGAAAAAGATTTAGAGACACTGGAGAATGATTGAGAAAAAGAGAAAGAGAAATGAGGCTGTTTGGGGGGGTCTCTTTGGGTGGATGGGTGAATGAAAGCTAATTATCTGGAAAGGAATGTTTTCTCATGGGCTCTCTCAGAGAGAGTTTGGCTACAGGTCAACCAATGGCAGCAGTTTATTTGTTTATGCAATTTGTTAAAGGTTTGTGCCCCTTTCCTCGTAAAGGCTATCAGTGATTCCATTCAGACTCTGCAGTCCAGAGTATAATTCACATGGACAGACTGAATAAAAGCCTTCAAATGACTTTAGAATACATTTCCCTTTTTTAAATCAAACAAGAAGTGTGGAGTTCTGAGTTAATATGTTAGCTTGAGATATAGTACAGCCCACTGTGAATAAAAGTTCAAATAAGTAGACAGCCTAGGCAGAGTGTGTATAAGGCTGGGCAAGGCTTGCTGGAGAGCCAAAGGTTGGAGCTTGATGTCCAGCTCCGCCTCTCTGGATATAATGGTGGAGCTTGAAGGTCCAACCATAACCCTATCCCTAAGCATAACTAGGTCAAGCTCCACCCATTAGGTCCAAAGAGGTGGGGCTGGTCTAGGTCAAGTGTCCGTGTACTTTTGCGTCCATTCATTTTTCATTTTTTAACCATGGTGAAAAAAAAAAATGAAAAAAGAATGGCTGTTGTATTTTTAAATGCTATGTTGAAAACCAAAATTTAAATTAGAACCCTACACACAAAATGCTGCCCAAAAAAGTAAAAATATTGACTTATTTTCAGATTTTTGTTTATGACTTTTTGCACCTTTAACAAACACCTTTAATTTTCAAAATGCACAAATTAATATAGAACAATTTAGATATTACAAGTTTTCTTTGGCCAAATTAGAAGTAGACCTAATGCTTTTTCTGCATGTTCAGTTGAGAACTAGAGCCGTTTCTGAAGCAATACAGAGACCTAATATATTAGGCCTACTTTAAAATATGGTTTTAAAATAGATATATAGAGGACCAAGCACGTACAGTACATCGTGTTAGAGCGCTATACAGAGGAGGCTTTAATATGGTAAATATATAATTATAATATAGAAATATATATATATATAAATATAATTTCTCCCACTTCTCCAGATACTAGCAGGCCCGGTTCCAGAATCAAATCACTGAGACTTCTGAAATTACTGAGGGTGCTCAAGCCTTAACCCTTGTGTTGTGTTCAGAACCCTATCACACTTACGATGTTACAGAGCAAAAAGGTCCCGGCCTCAAAAAATTGCTTATAAATCACTCATTATGCTATATTAAAATGACTGGCCATTCAGAGTGAATGGGAAAGATCACAAAAAAGGACCTTTATTTTGAAATGCTTTTATTTTCTGTAAAGGGGCAAATAGTAACACTTTTGCTGTTCCCTGTCAAATCTGAACATCCATAATAAGTGATTTATAAGCATTTTTTTGAGGCCGGGTCATTTTTGCCCTGGAACATCACAAGTGTAACAAGGTGAAAAATCTCCCCCAGAAAAGTATGAAAATTATCAAAAATTTTTTTAGAAGTAGTTATACCCTTTGTGAACAAAGTCACAAAATTTCAGTCCAATGCGATATCATTAACTAGTATTTTCAGGAAAAATTATTTTTTTTCAGAGCAAAAAGGACCCGAACACCACATGATGTAGCCTACAACTATTTTGGCATATTTTTGCCCTGTCCATTGTTATGGTTATCATTATCATTGCAATGCGGCATTTATATGCGGATGTCACTCCTGAAACTTTGCAGCTGTGTGATTTATAATAGTCCTTTACGATTGTTGCTTTTCAGACTGTACGAACATGATCCTCATTTCACATTGTAAGATCTCAGCTGTCATTAATGTCAGACAGTATGACAGTCAAGAAGCGTTAAAAACAGACCCATGTAAGAAAAATCAACCCATGACACGTTCGGTGAAGGTGAGCTGTATTACACATAGAAATGAAATGGTGGCTAATGGTGTGTGTCTACTGGCGTGGAGCAGAGCGAGCATTTTCAGTTCATTCCTATGAAAGTTGAGCTTCAGAGTTAAGTTCAACTTCTATATAAATGAATTAAAAGTGCTCGCTCTGCTCCACTCCCGTGGACACGCACCATAACAACGAAAACTCCAGCGTTAATTTTGATCTTGGCTGTCTTGAAAAACGAAGACAATTAGATGTTCGTCTTAGGAGAATTCACACCCCTGATAGCACACGTCTATTTGACATCTGCATTTACTTCTGCAAGATGTAGAGGGTTTGCTCATCTGCAGTACGTCTATAGGAGGTTTCCTATCAGATGTCAAATAGATGTTTAGAAAATGTCTTAAAATGTTTATTATTTAGAATGTTATGTAAAAATGACATCTTAAAGACGTGTATCAGATGTTTATCTCAAAGACAACATACACAATGACCTGAAGGATATGTGTGTTCATTCAAAGAAAGGTTTTCCTATGAATTAATTAGGGAAGAGTCCATTTCTACTGTGCATTGTGTCTCTTCCTATGGAAAAGGTAGTGATTTTCTCTACCCGCATTCCTTTGGGCCATAAAACCAGTGATATCAGCATTAGTTGCCATGGGGACCAGGGGGGGCCTGGTGTCGTTCGCAGACATCCTGGCACCCAGTTTATTGGGTGAGGGGTCTGTGACGATTTGTTAATCTAATGAATAATTGATTTGTTAAATCAAATGAAAAATTGTGTGTTTGATTGGTCCAGACGCTACAAGAGGGTTTGCTCATCTGCAGTACGTCTATAGGAGGTTTCCTATCAGATGTCAAATATATGTTTAGAAAATGTCTTAAAATGTTTATGATTTAAAATGTTATGTAAAAATGACATCTTAAAGACGTGTATCAGATGTTTGTTCACAACAGATGCTTTCCAGATGAACCGATCTTTAACAGACATCTTGCAGACGTACTTGTTCTATGGGACTGCAGGGCTGTGCGCCAAATCTTCTGACATTGCCAGAATTTCATCAGAGGTAAAACTGGATCACAACAGCCATTAATCGGCAAAGAGCACTCCACTTATAATCACTAAAAAGCGTCACTCATTTCAGTTAATCACAATCTCACAAAGTTCCGTTATAATCAATGAAGCTGTACACTGCACAATGAATCTCTTATTGACATCATGTTAAAGTTTGTTATAATGAGAGACTCCCGAACTTGCAGCACTGAACAAAACTGTGGCGTTTTGAGCGGTGAGTGGATTCTAACTTAAATGCTTGGCCATTGCATTCAAGAAATCAACAAAAAATGTTGGTGATTGGCTACAATGATAAATGCTACAAAAACATGTTGAAAATAGAAACCTTAGAAGCTCTCCAGAGTTCAAACACAAATGCAAACTGGAGTGTTTGGAAAATAAGTTTGGCCAGTATTTAGGCGTGAAAAATGATCAAGATCATAAAAATGTCAAAGCCAAAGGTTTTCATAAAGCAATAGTTTACCGGTAGCCACGCCAGTAGCGTGAGACGGCACTTATAGCGTCTGTATAGAGATGCTAAAAATTTATATACATTAAAAAACAACTTACCCTTCTAGGGAACTCGCGCTGCGTCCTCTAGCGCAGTGTTTCCCAACCGGGGGTGCCATCTGTCGAGAGCAGGGGTGCCGTGTAAAAAATCCTTTTTTAATATTTTTAAATTGCTAAAATGTTCATAAAAGCAGCTATTATATAATATCCATTTCTGATGTCGCCAATAATTAGAGATGCACTGAAATTCCGGCTGCCGAAAATTAGTTCACCGCTCAGGATTCACTTTCACGTGGTGTGACGCTCTGCGTATTATCCCGCTCTATGAGTGTGTGCTCCACTCAGTCGCTCCACTCGTATACCGTTCATGCTCATCGGAACAGCAAAGTCCACTCAAAAATCGAGCTGACAGGAAACATCTATGTAGTACAGTATTGTTTCTGTTTGCAATAGCCCTACTGTGCTGTAACAAGGTGTGGTAAATGGGCAACTCTGGTAACGCTGCCCTCTCATTCATTGATCTGCTAACCGTTATGCTCACGTGTCCTCTGATAATAATAGCTTTCTAGGATTAAACATTATTTGGATAATTGGTAAAAAAAATTTTTTTTTAAATCTCTTAATAGCCCTACTGTGTGTTAGACCTACCCGAAAAACCATTTGTAGGCCTATCATTATTTTTTATTTGTGCTATCATTATAAATTTCTTTATTTGTTCTTATTTTATTACTGACTGCTTACTTGTCATTTTTTATTCAATTCAAAGTTTGAAATCAAGCTATCTCGTGCTACTGCAACAAAATAACCCAGCTGTAAAATCAAAACTTTGTTTAATTACCATTATAACTAGCTATCTCACAAAGTTTGCATATGAATAAAAGCCTACATTAAAATCTATCATATACATAGGTCTTTTCATTAGAAATTAGCCTACTGATTGCCACCATTGATAGACAATTTTTTTTATAATATTAAAAATATCTGTATGACATTATATTCTGCAGTTCTTCCCTGTTGTACCGAATAAATGTAAAATAAAATAAACGTTGTAAATTCAAATC